GTAACACAAACTTAACAAGAATAATTTAGAAACAGTCAGTGGATAGAAATATGTAAAGAAGTGGCAATTAATGAGGTCTATTAGGTTGAGTTCATATCATTATTTTTTGTTTGAAAACATTAGTACAAACAAGAAAACCATAGTATTAATTTACTAACGAGAAAATATTCAATTAAGATCTTTTTAATCATTACTTGCATAATAAAACGGATAACAGCAAATACATTAATGGAAGCTGAGAAATGGAAGTGGGTGTGTGAACCATGACAATTCTGTCACAATGATGTTTTGCAGACAAAAAAACAACAACAAAATAATCTTGATATCATAACAAGTTTACATTCTCTAAGAAATTTACTACACTATTATCATCATTACTTCATACAGTGATATGTACTATATATATATAGTGTATATATAGTAGCACTGTTAAGTCGATCATTAACAAAAGGAAACATACTACTACAATTCAGTAGTTAATGCAATAACAGTATTCATGTCAACGTTAACATTTCCGCTACCATCGGAAAGTTACTAAAAAGAACAACCCCAAAATGAATGAACAGATAGACAAGAATGAACTACTTCAGTATATAGTATTAATTGCAGCTTTTAGATAATAATAATATAAATAGTTAAAGAGTAAGATGATAGTGTTGAATTTCTTTTTTTTTCAAATGTTTTCCTATAAAATAGCCTTAATAGTGTTGATTATAATCGTGGTAAACTACTAGTGAAATTGAATCAAACATCAAATGTACCATATGAATAGTTCATTTCAATAAGAAATACAAAGAAGTCAATTGAGATTCCATTAGAAAATCTTCAATTTATAACAAATCTATAGCGGTAAATAACATAGTAGAACTTTATTTCAGTAGTCACTTGTACATGGTAAGTAATCATTTTGAATATTATGGACAGATATTTTTAGATTAGTAGATATTAACAAATTGATTAAACAATGAATACAGATGGATCATATTAGTTATCAATAATCATAGGATAAAATAAGTGGATGATAATCTCTTATTTTACATGTATACCAGTTCAAATAAGGTAAACATATAGTTAGAAGTCTAAAAGGTTTCATTATTAAATGATTGAATCTGCAATTACTAAATACAAAGTTCGAATGTCATTTCATTGACCTCTGTACGAAAGAAAATTGTTAAATATCACTGGCAGTTTCATAGAATAAATATATGACTTAAGGTCGAGGACACTTATTTATACATAACTACTGATTAGATGAGTACATCCGTAACTAAATAAGCACTAACAAACTGTTCAATGATTAAGGACGTACGTCTCGTCCTATTTGAGACTTATCAACTAGATGTACTTGTATTTCGCTGTTAATGTTCATAGTGAAACGCGAACCCAGTACCCTTCTTATATGTGCATTCAGAGCGTCTTACCTCAAAGTTATCATTTAGTCATATTTTTATCCAGTAGATAGAAACAAAGACCCTGATATCTAGACTGTTGTCAGATGAAATATTGATTCATAGTATGAATTATACCAACAAAAAATTTATCACATTTTTAACTATTCATTAATACATTCCTGGATTAGTGACGATAAAGTGTGGATGTAATTTGGCAAGCAGATATGAAGTTATATTATGTGAATATAAAATAATAAAAAATGTTTATGATAATAAGAATAGCATTTTAAGAAGGAAGTGTCTGTGTTTCGACAAGAAGAAAGAATAATGAAGAACTGATAAATATTGATAGTTACTTTTTGAGGATAACAGTAAACTGAATCGTTATTGACAGTTCGCTTGTAGAATTTTTTATATTTCTTTAATTACAAGTTTCTAGGTTTTCAGTACAAGAATTCAATGAAATACAAGTTAACATTCGATTAATAAACTGTTATTATATCATCTGTCTTCAGATAATTGTACTTCAATCATAATTCTAGGATTATAGTTTTTCCACCAGAAATGCCCAATTTTTAGAATACATTGCAATCACTAAATAATAACTAACTGTTTCGAGATCTTGAATATTCTTCAAGAAAGATGCTGAACGAGTATTGTAGTGAACGAGAACACGATCGAGGACAACCAAACGTATCTGAACATAAATGAATAACTTTGTCAAATCTGAGAACCATACAGTAAATACTTCATTTGCAAAATTTCAATCAATCATCTGAGGCTTGACTGTCCCTTCTTTTCCACACCAGTCATTTACTGTTCTCGTTCTCTTTTCTTCGATCTTCTTAACCTCTTGACGCCAGACATTCCACCTTCGATTGGTGATGCATACTACTTATATCTGTCGTTATCAGCACCATATATATATATATATATATATATATATATATATATATATATATATATAACAAATTCTTCTTAGTGACCTTTTAAATTTTTGCTAACGAGTTTTATGAAATAACCGTTATGTATTACAGTTCTCTTGATATTTTTCAGATAATCATGGTGCATATGTTGAAAATATAATATTAATTAGAAAGGGCTTGGAGGTGGGTTTGATAACAAGTCAATGGGAGTTAGATAATCATTAAAGACAATTAAAATCTAGATGAATGTTACGAAATTATGGGCTGAACAGGCAACAAACTCTAGATCTTGAACCTTGAATGCTAGTCCATGATGCAGAAACTAGATTTGAAAAAGACTGATAGAACAATAGACACTTTACTCAATGATAAACTATTTACTACTATATATTGAATCCTCAGTATAAACCTAATCAAAATACTAGTTGAAACGACCAGGGGAACCCCCATGCACTACCGAAGACATGAATTTATAGTAGTATTGTGGTGTGCGCTACTTATATTGACATAAGTAGTAGATGATGTTAGTCATGAACAGAATGTCTGGCAGCAGAGAGACAAGAGGATCGAACAGTAAAGAATGAAAACAGAATGCGACTTGTATGAAAATGCAAGAACAATGAAGTCTGGGTCATTATGAGACAATTGATGGACATTTTGCAAATTACGTATTTACTATTTGATTGTCCCAACGCGTGTTATGTTCGCTAAGGTATATTATCTGCAAACAAATTCCAAAGAGCATTTGTAAATTTGCCATAAGTCTTAAATTCACTACCTTAAAAAGAGACCTAAATTTATATTTTACAAAGCTGAATATTAATAGTAGGAATATCATACTTCATACAAAGGTTTTGATCTATTTAAGCAACTTTCTAAAACTGCACTGACAATAAAAATAACGGTTTGTGTCGACCTTAAGTATTAGATTTATCTGAAATCTCAATAAATATTTATTTCCAGAATGGGGATTTGTGGAGATTTTAGTAATTTTAATGGTTGAATTCATGAATCGGTCTAAGCTAGACCACCATTAAAAACCTGGAAGCACTGGACGGCCGTTTTGTCCTAGTAAGAGACTCCTTATTGGTAATCTGAATTAGAACAATTAGTCCCTTTGATAAATTTCGATAATGCAATGAGAAGACGTAGTTTATCAGAATTATGTCTAGTTGACCTTTTAATTTTCATATATAAATGTTCTTAACAAGTATATGTGTGATCAGATTGTTCGAAATGTAATGCGCAAATATATCACATAATTCTGATAAACTACGTCTTCTCATTGCATTATCGAAAGTCTGAATTAGGTCGACTCATGAACTCAACTGTTAAAATACTTAGTTGTTAATTCCTTAGTCCATTAGTAGATGCTGTTTATGAATTAGGTAGAAATCAAAGGTTATTGTAACTAAAATAAGATAGATTATAACTTAAAACCAATCATAGTTGAGGTTCAATCATTAACTCCAGGTTTTAATTATGCGACATAATGTACAATCCTATGATCTTTTTGGCAGTATGACAGCCGCTAGACTATAAGGTTGAAAACTGCTTACATGAAACAGATCTATTAACTATTCTTACTCATTCAGTAGACAAAGTTTATTATTAAACACCTACAAACAATCTATTCGTTCATTCATATGCTACTATATGAGAAAAGGATCACGAACAAATCTATTATTGTAATTCATTTTTTATCAGCCTAAAGAAATGAAGGTCCCTTTCATAATCATAATCCATCCAACTTACAAAAGGGTTCATATCACAGATGATACAAGTAAATAAAATTTATCAATGAAAAATAGTCCTTGATAAGTATCTGTGGTTTTACTGAAAAGCCTAAAGTGTAGATAAAATGTCTACCGAATAAACTAAGCTGATGAATAAATTGCACTTTTGGATATAAATATAAAGATAATTGATCTGCTACTAATTTACGATAGTGTAGACTAAGGAATGTAAGACTTGTTATCTATTCTGAGTGATAAATAAATAATGCCTAGCTTTAAAATTCCATGCAGGAGAAGTGATGTATGAATTTATGCCTTTGAACATATTCGTATACATAATATGTGTATGAATATCATACCATATATATATCGCTTGCACTGTGTAAACTTTTCATTAAGACAGACGACAAGTTTTCATAACAAGCAAACGAGCCAAGGTAGTTGTTAAATAGTACAAACGTTTCTAGGAGAATAAGAGTCGCAATAAATATAAGATCTGTCTTTACAAGGATCGACTTCTGTTAACTATTAAAACTGATAATAAGTTTGAATTCGTTTTAACAAACCTAACATATTAGGATGACACAAGTATGTAAGTAAAACTGATGGGATTTTAGAATAAACGGAATTAATTAATTTATCATTAAAAATGAAACATTTTGTGAGAAAATCATGTAAGAAATGTTACTTTAAATGCCAAAAATATGTCACTAAATTAATGTGGTATGGTTTTTTCATGAGAGAAGCCACTTAAAGATATTGCTGCCAAATACGGATACATATAGAAACCTCATCACTCAAGGTTAGAGATGTAAACTTTATGTTAAAGAAAATGTAATTCACACTCTTAAAAAACTACTGATTTAAGCGGTTTCACAAAAAATTTCCAAGTGACTAGTTTTAACCATATTTACCATATTCTAATTCTAATAATACGCTGAACTTACCCATTAATATAGAACAAAGAGAACAAATGGAAGACTGAAGATGCAAAGAAGAGTGAGACGATGGCAAGACCATAAACGATTGCCGCCACTGATTTAGAATATGTATCTGCCTTTGAATACAGTCTAATCATTCCAGCAACACCAAGTGGAACACATGGAACGTGTGATATGCAATTAGCTAAATGTTCAACCGTCGTTGGATGATAAGCTTTACCAGGTTGAGCTGGAGAATTTTTCCATCTATTATCAAACCAGGAAAAAAGTTAAACAATTGTAAGATATAAAACATGGTCTACGTCAAGGAAAAATGTATGTTGAGTATACTATAGTAAACCTTAAGCATTGTAAAACTGTAGTCAGGGGATGTTATAAATAGCATGACAATAGCTAACAGTGCTCTTAATTGAGATGAAAAATGTACAAGTACAAACGTTCCTAACATTTTGAAACGCTGTGTGTTCCTCTGCAAAACAAACAGCTAGTGATATTCTAAAACTTGCCTACCAAAGTAATACAATTCAAAATATCAATACATTTAGTAGTTAGTACGAACTTATTATAAAATACCTCAAAACCATGGAAGTAAACTCAATTTTTAAACACTTCCACGAAACCAGTTAAATCTCTGCAAGAGAACCACGAATAACACAAGACTGTGTTAGGGTCTGTATTTAATGAGTCACAGAATAACCAGAGCATCCGTTGATTATAGCCAAATGCTTTAAAAGTAAGTTAAACTGGTGATATCTACTATCAGAAAATCCCACTTTGGATCTAATTTTCACCACTCTGTTGGTAAACGGTTGCACTTATATCTGTGCATTACTACTCCTCACCAGTCTATTTTGTTGAGATGTTCAGGAATTCAATGGGTGCATTGAGTAGATAGAATCAAATCTCGTACGACATATATACTTGCTAACCACGTTTAACCTCTTTTGAATCACCAGGATTTTGGTGCTTAGGATATGAAAAGTTGGAAATTTAAATATATTTAGGATAAATGATGGTAACTGTTTATAAATGCATTCACTTGGTCTGAGCCCCGTAGAAACAGTTAGAAATAATGTTATTAACTAAATCATGATTCGTGGTCAGAACTTAAACAAATCGACCAGAAATAAATTGCGCTAACATAAATCCACAAAAATATGCAATATACTTAACCTTAAATACTGTCTGATTTCATATCACTTTAGTTCTTGAATTCACCAATCGTCGACGATTGACAATAAGGATCCTTATTTCAGCCTCGGGTAACTTGTTATCACCACACGCATAACAGTTATTTGAATAGACCTATACATAGTGGGGCTGTAATTCATTAATTTAAATATTTGTTTCTGTATGAATATTCACACAACTCCTGTTTCAGTAGAATATAATAACCAACGATTGAGAAGTCTGATTTCTGCAGACTAGAGTATAAAAAATAACAGAGAATGATCCTTACATCACAGCAATTAGACCCATAAGTTTGAAGGGCTTTAATAAGCGGATGCACAATCTCATGGCCGAGAATTAAGGAGTTTGTAAAAAAAGTACATATTGTTGGTAAGATAAACGTGGGAAACTGCTTATTATGGCGATAATTCACAAAATATGACAAAATCACTTAAGAATACGTTCACACACCTCCAAGTTCTCCCCATAATGCACATATGAACTTCATGCGGAAACTATACGAACATAGGTGAGCAAGTTCATAACTTGCACCTTATCCATCTGTCCTTGAAACATCAGGGTCCAAGAGTTCAATAACCTTGCGACGAGCTCAGGTTAACCAGTCTATTACTTTACGCTCGTTATTTTGACAATGAATTACGGTCCCAGGTCTTCGATGTCGTTTAATGTGGGTATTCTGTCCTCTTGGATGACCGCGCGCTTTTCGAACGAGAAGTTTAGTCCTGACGTGATTTGCATCTATCAAACTTTTGCTGTGTTCTTACGCAACAAAATTACCATTTCCATTCTGAAGAATCTATACTGAGCTATACGTTCGGTAGATTACTGCTTTTTGAGTTTCACCATATTTAATAGTTACCTGTGGTTTTGCCTCAGCTTACTATTCGGTTTTTTTGTTTTTCACTTATAGACTAGTTTCAGTTTATATCACTCGTTTTATCTATTTTTGTCCGTTTTCAGTGTGCTTTTTAGTGTTTTTTAAAGGTCTTAAGCTTTTGCAAGCATCTATAACATAGTTTGCTTCAACATAGTCATGAAAAACTCATGCGAACGTCCGGGATGCCGTTTTGCTGTTACAACTGGCATGCAGTGCGACAACTGCAAAGGTTGGTTCCACGAAGCATGCACAGATCTGACAGCAACTGCTTACAACAGACTCAGCGAGTCAGACTGAAAGTGGGTATGTGTCACGTGCAGCACGGACGCTGTAGTCTTGCTGAGTAACATCATTGTCCTACTGACAGGTCTTCGGAACAAGCTGTCAGTTAACTTGGAACACGACAGTAAAAAAACCGATATACAAACAAGAGCGCGCAACGGACTCAAAAATAGGGGTGTCGATAGGTATACCATCGATGGAGCATCCATCAACACTAATGACGACGCGTCGAGGTCAGTACCATCATTACGTCGACGGTACTAGACTCCCTAGGCAAACTCGGGTCTCCCAGCTCAGGGTCCCTGAACACAACAGTGGTTCCCAAAAACCCTGCAGGTGATTCGACCCACGTTAAGAGAGCCCAAAAGAACCAGGCATCACCGCCTAAGCCGAGCAACTCAAGTGTTGCTGTACCGAAAATAACTGGTGATTTGGTCGCACAGTCTACCCCCAAGACTGTTCGTCTGGTCAATAAAGAGCCCAAGACTCAAAAACACGCACTGATCTCCAAACCACAAGTTGTTAAACCTGAACCCATCGTGAAACCTGGTAAATTAACAACAGTTCGTGACGATTCTCTCATTATCATGAACCTCGTTGACAATCCTTACCTTCCTCTCAGTCTGCAGGGCAAAAACGACAGGATGCTGTGGGGTGAATTGAACAAGAAGCTCGAACTTCCTAGAATAGAGCTTTTGACGGTCACCCGGCTTACTCAAGGAAAAGATTCTAAGCATCTAAATCACCCGAGGCTTCTCCGAGTAACACTTAAAAATGCTACCGGCGTAGAGGACGTCTTGCTAGCAAGTCACTTGCTGAAATCCGATCGTAACGGGAGAATATTGCCCGACATACCGTACTCTGAGCGCAATAGCATACGGAACATCCCTAAAAAATCTCGCGAGAAGTTCTTCCGCGGAAGAAACATAGTTCTGCAAGGTATACCGGAAAATGCAGACCCTACTCAATCAAATTCTGACATCAGGGAATGGAAATTCATCAAACAGTCCTTGAGGCTCAAACATATACTGACTCAGCATGTGACGAGACTAGCCAAGAAGGACGGTGATCTTAGACCTCCTCTAATGAAGATAACCTTCCCATCTTCCCACATGGCGGCTGCAGTTCTGGAAGCATTTCGTGCTAACAGACGTCGATTGCCACCTGGAGTCCACATGCACCCGGATAGGCCATATGAAGCTAGGACCAAGCACAAAGGCAAGTTGGAGCTGACCATTCCACTTGCGGACTGTCTAAATGATAAAAAAACGTGTAAAGGACAGGGCCTACCACCTCGGCAAACCTCATATAGGTGGGCTACCTGTCCATTCACATAAGGCTCATACAGAAAAACAGGACGAAGCTCACGCGTTCCAAATTGAAAGCATAAACTGCTTATATATGAACGCCGCGAGTCTACCAAATAAACTGGATGAATTACGTGAATTTAGCAATGCTAATAAGGCCCATCTGATAGGAATATCTGAAACCGGGATATCTTCTCAGTTCTCGGACCAAGAGTTAGCATTACCTGGGATGACCTTGTTCCGCAACGATAGGAAAACAGGAATTGGGGGTGGAGTAGCCATATACATAAGCTCTTGCTTGGAGGTGCACCAAGTTCACAACCTCGAGTTTAACAATCTTGAGGAATCCATATGGTGCCCTGTTAGATTGTCTATTACTTCGAGGTGTCTAGTTGGAGTCATTTACAGGAAGCCAACTGCCGACATCGAGTACGATAGTCGTATGCTGGAAGGACTATCCCGCTCTACCCGTCTCGGTTTCACACACATCCTGATTCTAGGGGACTTTAATCTCCCTAGAGTCAACTTCGTGGAACACACGTACACTGGAGGCGACAACTCAACTGAAGCTCGGTTCTTCAACCTCATCGATGACTTGGGCTTATATGAAAATGTGAGGTCGGCAACTCGTTGGAGAAACAGTCAGACACCATCGCGCTTAGATTGTGTATTCACGAACGAAGAATTCCTAATTGACAACCTCTCAATCCTGGCTCCTCTGGGAAAGAGCGATCATGCCGTCATAGCCTTCAGTTTTGTCATCAAAACTAATTTGCGTTGGAATTTTAAACGGCTGAATGTGCCAGCTCTATATGACTATCTACAACAGGGGGTTCGGGACGTTCACCCTCAACCCGATGTGGACGGTCATTGGGACTTCTTACTGCACACGCTCTTATGTGCTACAAACCATTCAGTTCCTCAAACGGTCCCCAAAAGCTGCAAGCCACCTACAGTAATCAAGAACCGTACCCTTTGTAAGATCCATTTTGAATGCTTTGTGTGTTTGTGAAAATCCCTCCATGTATATACTTGCACTTTGTTCCAATTGATCCTCTTAGTTGTACATTGTTAACTTTTTGACTGTATTTGAGTTGTTATAATTTGTACTTTATTATAGTTTTTATTTACATTACGCCTTCACTGAGTCTCCATGTTTCTTCCCGAACTGCAGTTATGTTGTTTTACTTTATACTAAGTCTGGGCGGCAGCCATATTGGTTTGTTCCTGCTTTTGATTGCCTGACCTGTGTTGACTGGAATCGTGCATTTTGGTTGTGAATTGAGGCACTATTCCAGAATTGAAAACACTCTGTGTTATAGAGCGACCAATTATTACCTTTTGAACGAATCTGTACGTGATCTATCCAGACAGGATAGAACAACGGTTATTTGTGGTGACTGATTTGATCAATTGAACAATTATTGGTTGGATAGCTGAGTGGTTATATTTGTTTAGGTAATAATGTACACTTAAATTTATGATAAATTATAGAACCGTCATCTTACACAATCACTTTGTTTTGATTTCAATCGGGCGAGGGCGCGTATCTAACTCATCCAGACAGCTGTCCTTCACTCCGAACCGTAGTTTGGATCTTACACCCTTCGCCTGCTAAGCCGCAAAAGGCACTGTTGGGCGGAATACAAACGAACTGATAACGACGGAGCGTATAGGCAATATGAAAATATCAGGAACATATACACGAAAGCTATAAGAGAAAACAGGGGTCATTACCAGACAAAGCTTCTGGACAAATTTGCTTCTAACCCTGGAAGCCTATTCCGTTATGCTGCCTCTCTTCGTCAAGCCAAACCAAGAGTTTCTCAACTGCTAGGTCTTAACGGCCCGACCAACAACGATGGTGACGCCGCTAACATTCTGGCGGCACATTACTCTCAAACATTTCAACCGGCTGACATCAACTTTACTGACGACAGTTCCATCTGCAATTCCACAGGACTTTCCGAAGTGGACCTAAGCGCTGACTTGGTGTTCCGGAAATTGCAGCACTTAAGACTAGATACTTCTCCTGGCTCGGATGTGGTTCATCCTGCCATACTGAGGGAGGCAGCCTCAATCCTGGCAACGCCGCTTAGCGTGATGTTTTCACACTCGCTAAGCCGAGGCAAATTACCGGAAAATCGGAAGTTGGCTCACATCACACCAATTTTCATAGGAGGTCGACCTTCAAGTTATCGGCCGGTAGCTCTTCTGTCAATGCCTTCAAAATTCATGGAGTCCCTGATATACGACGGTTTAAACGACTATCTACTGTCCTTAAATTTCTTCTCACCCCAACAGCATGGTTTCAGGAAGGGTTACTCTTGTAAAACCAACCTGCTGACTGCGGTGGACAGATGGACAAGCATCCTCGATCGCAAGAGAAAGGTTGATATCATTTATCTTGATTTCTCAAAAGCTTTTGATAAGGTCAACCACTTGTGTCTTATCAATAAGCTCAAACGACTAGGTATCAAACCACCTCTAATCGATTGGTTCACTTCATACCTGAAAAATCGACACTTTAAGGTTAGAGTTAATTTCACTTTATCTCAGGCTATGGAATGTCCTAGTGGGGTCCCTCAGGGCTCAGTACTAGGGCCTCTTCTCTTCTTGATCTACATAAATGATCTTCCTCAACAGGTAACGCCAGACTTTTTGCCGACGACGTGAAACTTTGGGGAGAGATACGCAACCAAGACGATATGCAGGCACTTCAGGAGGATCTGACTCGACTTCAAAGTTGGGCAGACGACAACGGACTTACCTTTAACACTTCAAAGTGTAAGGTAGTCCATCTGCGACATGTCGTAAACTACAGTTACAACTTGGGAAACTCCTCTCTAGTAGTATCCCAAGTCGAAAAAGATTTAGGAGTTCTGGTGCCCCATGATTTAAAGTCTTACGCTAACTGTGACAAAAATGCCTTCCGAGCAAACCTTGCACTGGTAACGTTGAAGCGCATTTTTGGACAGTTTGACGGACGAACTTTCCATACAATCTTCAA